GGGGGGGGTCCCAGGGTCACGTAATTCCCCCTGGGGTTGTGCATCTCCTCAAGCAGCCCCATTTTGGATCCTGGTGACGTCCCCGTCCCCTCCCTCCCTCACCACAGGCATCCAGAAGGGTCCCCGCTCCGACTTCGACATGGCCTACGAGCGCGGCCGCATCTCCGTGTCGCTGCAGGAGGACAGCACCGGCGCCTTGGCCGCCTTCTCCCGGGTGAGGCCAAATCCAGCACCCCCACGCCCACCCCGGTCCCCCCACCGACACCACCGGGGTGGCGGCGGGCGCGTGGTGGAGCCACCCCATCTCCTTGTAGTCCATCTCACATGAGCCCAAGGAGCGCAAGTCGGTGACGGTGGAGGAGCAACCTTCTGGTGTCTACCACTACAACTACTGCGAGGACGATTCGTCAACTGGGGACTGTCCCTTCGGGCCCTACCAGGGCCGCCAGACCAGTGCCATCTTTGAGGCTGCCAAGCGGGAGCTGGTCAAGCTCATGAAGGTGGAGGTGAGGGCAGAAATGGTGCCAGCACGGGGGTATCGTGGTCCTCTGTTGCGTTGTGGTGGGTTCTCGTTGCTTCGTGGTGGTCCCCCGGGGCTTCGTGGTGGTCCTTGTTGCTTCATCGTGGGTCCTCGTTGCCCTGTGGTAGGTCCCTGTGGCCTTACGGTGGTCCCCATTGCCTCGTGGTGGTCCCTTATTGCTTCCTAGTAGTCCCTGTTGCTTCATGGTGTGTCCCTGTGGTCTTCTGGTGGTCCCCCATCACTCTGTGGTTGTCCCCCATTTCCTTGCGGTTGTCCTGCATCTCCTTTTGGTGGTCTTCCATCACTTTGTGGTGGTCCCCATTGCCTCGGGGTTGTCCCCCATCACTTTGTGGTGGGTTCTTGTCTCCTCATGGTGATCCCTGTCCCTTTGTGGTGGTCTCTGTGGCCTCCTGGTGGTCCCCATCTCCTCACGGTGGTCTCCCATCGCCTCACGTGATGCTGTTCTTCCCTCTAGGACCCTTCTCTCCTCAACAACCGTGTCTTGCTCCATCATGCCAAAGCCGGGACGGTCATTGCCCGTCAAGGGGACCAGGTGGGTCTGGGTTTTGGGAAGCTGGTTGGGGCATCGTCCTCCCCCTGCCCTATATTTCCATGGGGTCCTTCTTCCTACTCCTGTCCAATGGGCAGTGGGGGGCAGGAATGATCCCCAGAGCCATCTGGAAAGTGCAAATCACCCTGTGAAGAGGACCAGAAGAAACCCCAAGGGGCGCTGGTGGGACCCCTCGTGCCTGGGGGTCCCAGGCGGCCCCCAACGGTGCCATTTTGGCAGGACGTGAGCCTCCACTTCGTGCTGTGGGGCTGCCTCCACGTGTACCAGAGGATGATTGACAAGGCAGAGGACGTCTGCCTCTTCTTGACGCAGCCCGGTGAGATGGTGGGACAGCTGGCCGTGCTTACCGGCGAGCCCCTCATCTTCACCATCAAGGCCAACCGCGACTGCACCTTCCTCAAGATCTCCAAGTCGGATTTCTACGAGTGAGTCCTGGCATCGAAGGTTTGGGGCAAAGGGTTGGTGCCAAAGGGCATTCCTGCGGTGAGCGTTGTGGTGGCATCTCTTGGAGCCACCACCGTGTCCCCCAACTGCTCTTGACCCACAGGATCATGCGGGAGCAGCCCAGCGTGGTGCTGAGCGTCGCCCACACCGTGGCCGCGCGCATGTCACCCTTCGTGCGTCAGATGGACTTTGCCATCGACTGGATGGCGGTGGAGGCCGGCCGGGCGCTCTACAGGTGGGTACCAACGGATGGGTGCCCACCTGAACTTGAGGAGAAGCAGCTTGGCAGGGGGCTGACTCCCCACCGGTGGTGTCCCCCAGGCAGGGTGACAAGTCGGACTGCACCTACATTGCGCTCAATGGGCGCCTCCGCTCCGTCATCCAGAAGGGCAGCGGCAAGAAGGAGCTCATTGGGGAGTACGGCCGTGGAGACCTCATTGGCGTGGTGAGCGCCACGGCGGCGGGGCTGGGGGGTGGACATCCCCTACGTCTGGCCTCTACGTCTTGGCTATGGGTCTTCTTCTCCAGGTGGAAGCCCTCACCCGGCAGCCCCGTGCCACCACGGTCCACGCGGTCCGGGACACGGAACTGGCCAAGCTGCCTGAGGGCACCTTGAACAACATCAAGCGCAGATACCCCCAGGTACCCCCAGATCTCCATCCTGGGGTCTGAACCCTCTTCCAATGGACACCCTGTGTCCCTCATCAGCTGGTGACTGTGATGCTCGTTAAAACCAGCTTAAATTAAAGGAATTAAAGATGTCATTAGAGCTGTGGGGGGAGGAGGGCTGGTGTGCTAAAGGGTTGTCCCTTTCTGAACTCCCCAAGGGTGGGTGGTGGTGGTGGCACCCAAAAAGACGTGTGGGACACCGGTCTGGGAGGGTTAATGAGTCTCCAGCTTGGGATGCTCTGCCAGGGCTGACGGCCATCCCCGTCCTCGTCCCTGCAGGTTGTCACCCGCCTCATCCACCTCCTGAGCCAGAAGATCTTGGGCAACCTTCAGCAGCTCCGCGGGCCCTTTGCAAGTAGGTCCCACAGGGCTTGGGGACAAGAGGTTGCCCTCTCCAGGGCTGGTGGCCATCGCCAGAGAAGCACGTGGAAGGTGGCCACCAGCCCATGGTCTCTGTCCGTGCAGGCTCCAGCTTGGGCATGGCCTCCAGCTCGGAGCCCACCAACCCCACCAGCAACCTGTCGACGGTGGCAGTGCTGCCGGTGTGCGACGATGTGCCCACGGCTGCCTTCACGCTGGAGCTCAAGCACGCGCTCAACGCCATCGGTGAGTGCCGGCGTGGAGGTGATCATGGTCCTGTGGCACCGCCAGTGTCTTGGTGTGGTGGTGATTGCGGCCCCGTGGCGCAGTGGTGGCCGTGGCATGGAAGTGGCTGCGGTCTTGGGGTGTGGTGGGTAACGTGGCACAGTGACCATCACAGCCCCACGGCATGGTGGCGACCACGCCGTAGTGGTGACCACACCATGGTGGTAATCATGCCATGGTGGCAACCACGAGTCCCTTGGCATGGTGGCAACCATGACATGGTGATGACCATGCCATGGTGGTGACCACAGCCCCATGCCGTGGTGGTGACCATGAGTCCCTTGGCATGGTGGCAACCATGACGCAGTGATGACCATGCCATGGAGGTGACCACAAGTCCCTTGACATGGTGGTGACCACGTCCCCATCTCTTCCAGGTCCCACACTGCTCCTCACCAGTGACATTATCCGTGCCCGTCTGGGCTCCTCGGCACTGGACAGGTAACTCCCACTGGGAGGAACATCTCTGGCACCCCACTACCGTGCCGCTGGCTGACCCCTCCATCTTGGCAGCATCCAGGAGTACCGCCTGTCGGGGTGGCTGGCGCAGCAGGAGGACATCCACCGCATCGTCCTGTACCAAACCGACTGTACCCTGACGCCGTGGACCGTGCGCTGCATCCGCCAAGCCGACTGCATCCTCATCGTTGGGTTGGGCGACCAAGAGCCGGCACTGGGAGAGGTGAGGTGGGGGGTAGGCGGTGGTGGGACAACACCGCGCTGGGTGGCTGATGGCTTCTACAGCTGGAGCAGATGCTGGAGAACACGGCGGTGCGTGCGCTGAAGCAGTTGGTCCTCCTACACCGGGAGGATGGTCCCAGCCCTTCCCGCACCGTTGAGTGGCTCAACATGCGCAGCTGGTGCTCGGGCCACCTCCACATCAAGTGTCCCCGGCGCGTCTTCTCCCGCCGTAGCCCCACCAAACTGGTACGTGTGGCCCCTTGGGTGGCCTTGGTGGTCCACCACCCTCTTCGTCACCCATCGTCCATCCCGTCCGCAGCGGGAGATGTACGAGAAGGTGTTTGAGAAGAGCGCCGACCGGCACAGCGACTTCTCCCGCCTGGCGCGGGTCCTCACCGGCAACACCATCGCCCTGGTCCTGGGGGGCGGCGGAGCCAGGTGGGTGCCGCGCTGTGGCAGGACCGGACCCGACAGGGTGGGAGGGGGTCCCCATCTCGTCCATCCTCCTCTTTATTTCCTCCATCCAGGGGCTGCTCCCACATCGGGGTGATCAAGGCAATGGAGGAGTCGGGGATCCCCATCGACATGGTGGGTGGCACCTCCATCGGCGCCTTTATCGGGGCGCTCTACGCCGAGGAGCGCAGCGCCGTCCGCACCAAGCAGCGGGCGCGCGAGTGGGCCAAGGTGGGTGCCGTGGCACAGCCCACCCACCCCCCGCCCTGGCCAAGGGAAACGCTGCCCCTCGCCGGCCCTCGTGGTTTGGGAGGGCCCCAGCGTGGTGCCCGTGGCCAACCCCTGCCCGAAGTTTTTCTAAAGCATCTCCTTCCCCTTCTTCCTTTTCTTTTTCTTTCTCCTTTTCTTCTTCCTCTTCTTCTTTTCCTCCTTGTCTCCTCCTCTTCCTCCTTCTCTCTTCCTCCTCCTTTTTTGCCCCTTTTCATTCTCCTTTTTCAACTTTTCTTCTTCTGCTGTTGCTTCGTTCTCCTCTTCATTTTTTTTCTCATTTCTCCTCTTCCTTCTCCTCCTCTCCTTATTCATCCTCCTTTTCTGCTTATTATTCATCCTCCTTCTCTTTCTCCTCCCTCGTTCTTCTCCTCCTTCCTCCTCCTCCTCCTCCTCCTCCTCCTCCTCCTCCAGTGCATGAATTCGGTGTTTGAGACCGTCCTGGACCTCACCTACCCCATCACCTCCATGTTTTCGGGCTCAGCCTTCAACGCCAGCATCAACAAAGTTTTCCAGGACAAACAGATTGAGGTGCGTCACACGGAACCCCCCAGGGCTTCACCCACCCATGACAAGGGCTCCAGGCCAGCTCCCCACTCACCCACTCATGTCCCCATAGTGTCACCCACCCCCTCTTGTCCCCACAGGACCTGTGGCTGCCCTACTTCAACGTCACAACCGACATCACAGCCTCGGCCATGCGGGTGCACACGGACGGTAAGAGCTCCCCGGGGAGCCGGGGAAGCTCTCTGGTGCCGCCACATCCCCTCTTGCGGGGACCTTCCTCACCAGCACCCCAAAACGGTGCCACCACCCTACGGGGGGAGCTTTGCCCCGTGCCAAGGGGACGACGCAACCTGGCACAGCAAAGAAAAGGGCTTGGAGGGCTCATGGTGAGCCCAGGCAGTGGTGGCTTCCCAGAGCCACCTGATGCGGGTGACCCCGCCCAGGCTCGAGTCGCCCTGGGGGTCTCTGGCTGTGCCCCCAATCCTTGGTGGGGTTGGGGTGCAGAGTTGTGGTGCGGAGCCACACCCTGACACCTTGAGTGTGTGCACGTCCCCTCTAACATATCTGCTCACCACTAACCCCAGTAACCCACGCTCACGGCATGGGGACGCGGTGGCAGTGGTGGGGACGATGCCGTGGTGGTGGGGATGACGTGGTGGTGGTGGTGGGGACATCTTGGTGGTGGGAACCTTGCGGTGACGGGGACATTGCGGTGGCTGCCCCTCCTCCTTGCCTGGTGTCGGAGCTCACCTGGGACATTGAGCCGTCCACGGGGCGCACGCGGTGGCTCGTCAGCAGCCTGGCTCTCGCTCTGCCTGCTCCTCCGGCTTCTAACGCCAACTAATCCCCGCTCACCACCCCTAACCCGTCCAGCCTTGCCCATCCCGTCCTGGCCAAGGCGCTTTCCCTTGGTCTTGGGGGCTGCAAACGTCCCAGCAGCGCAGTGCCGCCATCCTCGGTCACCTCCGGCCGGGTGCTCGGGCGTGTCCCGTCCCCGCCCGCCCCGTGACCGTGACCGTGTCCTCTCCCTTCGGCAGGCAGCCTCTGGCGTTACGTCCGAGCCAGTGCGTCTTATACCCCCTACCTGCCTCCGCTCTGTGACCCCAAGGACAGCCACTGGCTCGTGGACGGCTGCTATGTTAACAATGTCCCAGGTCAGCATCTCGCTCGCCGGGGCCACCGGCCCCCCTGAAAAAAAACAAACCCAACCCACGCCCCTTCCACGTCCCCAACAACCACATCCCATCCCAAGTTGAGCCACCTGGGCTTTGCAAATGGCCGGTTAGGACATGCGACGGGTTCCTCTGCCACCCGTGGGTGCCCGTTGGGCAGCCGTGGGGTGCAGACGTTCCCGGGCACGGGCAGGGGTGACGGGCAGCCCCCCCTGGGGGTAGGGGGGTCGCAGGCGGGCCGTGCTCATTGCGTTTGTTCCCGCCGGCGCAGGCTCGCTCTGGCGGTACGTGCGAGCCAGCATGACCCTTTCTGGGTACCTACCGCCACTCTGCGACCCCAAGGACGGCAACTTACTGATGGACGGTGGTTACATCAACAACCTGCCAGGCAAGTAGCAGCTCAACGCCATCACCGCCACCGCCCAACCGGGGTGGCAGCCAATGCGGCGCCAGGTCTGGCCCCCGCGGCGGTGGCGGGCGGTTGGGTGGGGGCTGCATGGCCACCACGAGATGGGTTCTCGATGGCCGGAGACGTTGAGGTTGGATTTGGGACATCTTGCTTGGTTTTGCATCTTCTTGGTGTCTTTGTTGGGCGTCATCTCGAGGTGTCTTCATCCTCTTTCACGTACAAAAAAAATGTCCGTCCATCTTGCGTCATCTCTTGGTGTCCTCTTCTTCCCAGAGCATCTTCCTGTTTTTTCACATTTCTTCACACATGAGATTCATCCTTTCATCTCGCATCATCTCCTGGTGTCCTCGGTGTTGGGCATCTTCATCTTCCTTCACAGGCCAGAAAGGTCACAGTCTTGCATTGTCTTTTGGTGTTGTCAGCACCAGGTGGTTTCCCAGATCATCTTCATCCTTCAAGTGCAAAAAATGCCCGTCTTGTATCACCCTTGGGTGTCCTTGGCATTGGGTGCCCTCCTAGAGCATCCTCATGCTCCTTAAACGCCAACCGCCTCCTTCCATCCGCATCATCCTCGCCTGGTGTCCTTGGCACTGGGTGTTCTCCCAGGGCATCTTTGTCCTCCTGCAGGTACAGGCCACCTCCCTCCATCCTGCACCGTCTCAGCATTGGGTGTCCTCCTGGGACATCACGCTTCCTCATGCGCAAGCCACCTTCGTCCATCTTGAATTGGCCTCTCTTGATGTTCTCAGCTCCAGGTGCCCTCTTTGGGCCTCTCCATCCCCCTTCCCCTGCAAGACACCTCCATCTGAGGCACCGGGTGCCCTCCTTGCTCCTTCACGGCACCTCCCTCCACCTCAAACCATCTCTTGGTGTCCTTGATGCCGGGTACCTCACCCGAACATCTCCATACTCTTTCATGTGCAAGTCTTCTGGCACCGGGTGCTCTCCCAGGACATCCTCATCCTCTTCCACATGCAAGCGACCTTCCTCCATCTTGCACCATGGTTTGGTGTCTTTGGCACTGAGCGGCCTCCTGCGGCATCTTTGCGCTCCTCCATTTTGAAACCACCTTCCTCCATCCTGCATCATCATCTCCTGATGTCATCAGCACCGGGTGCCCCGTTGCAGCATCTTCATCTCCCTTCACATCCATCCACCTCCCTCCATCTTGCATCGTCTTTTGGAGTCCTCAGCACCAGGTGCCCTCCCAGAGCATCTCCATCCTCTTCCATGTGCAAGCTGTCTCCATCCACCTCACATCGTCTCCTGGTGTCCTGCCACCGGATGTCCTCCTGGGACATCTCCACGCTCCTTCACATCCCACCGCAGATGCTGCAACTTGCCTGTGCCCTCCCGTTGCCCCAGCACATGCACCAGGTTGCATCACTGCTCTGCTCCCCACCGGCCACCATCCTGCTGCTGGGCTCCTGCCCCCAGCTCTGGCACCCATGGGACACTGCTTGTCCCACCGTGAGCCCCAGCATGGCTTCACCATCCAGCTGGGGCTTGGGGACAATCTCTCACCCCCATTTCCCTGCTCTGCTCGTGCCACCACTTCTCGCCGCGGGTTCAAACCAGGGCGAACCGCGACGTTTCCGACCCAGCTTCTTCCTTCCCCACCGCGCAGCCGACATCGCCCGCAACATGGGTGCCAAGACGGTGATCGCCATCGACGTGGGCAGCCAGGACGAGACGGACCTGTGCAACTATGGGGACAGCCTGTCTGGCTGGTGGCTTCTCTGGAAACGGCTCAACCCCTGGGCTGAAAAAGTCAAGGTGAGGACCGGTGGGACGTGGGGAAGCTGGTGAGACGATGCAGGCAGGGTGCTGAGCACATCATCCGCGCAGGTGCCCGACATGGCGGAGATCCAGTCCCGCCTGGCCTACGTGTCGTGCGTGCGGCAGCTGGAGGTGGTGAAGTCCAGCTCGTACTGCGAGTACATCCGCCCGCCCATCGACCGCTTCAAGACCATGGATTTCGGCAAGTTCGACGAGATCTACGTGAGTTGGGGGACGAGAAGGCTGGTGGGGTAGCCTGGACCGTCTTTTAGAGTGCCTCAGGCCATCAGTGAGATGCCCCAAACTGCCCTGGGTTGAGGTTCTCCAGCCATCAGTTGGGGTGTCCTGGCCATTGATTGAGGTGCCCTGGCCATTGGCCATTAATGGGGTCTTCTGGCCATCGGGTGGTCAACCAGCAGTTGATTGGGTGTCCCAGCCACCATTTGGGGGTGCTCTAGTCTATTAGTTGGGGTGTTCTGGCTATTGGTGGGGTGCCCCAGCCATCAGTTGGGTGCTCAAGCCATCATTCAGATGCCCCAGCCGTTAACTGCACCATCATTTGGGGGTGGCCAAGCCATCGATTGGGGCGCCTGGGCCACAAATTTCTATGTCTGACCATTATTTGGGGTGCCTGGGCCATCATTCCAGGTACTCAGGTCATCATTTGGGGCTCCCCGACTATTGGTTGAGTTGCCCAAACCGTTGGCTGGGTGTCCCAGCCATCAGTGGGGTACCCTTGGCCATCAGTTGGGATGTCCTACCCATCAGTTGGGTGCCTGGGCTGTCATTTGGGGTGCCCCAGGCCATTTTTTGGAGGGGAGACCAGGCCACCAATGGGCTGTGGTCCTGCAGGACGTGGGGTACCAGCATGGCAAGGTGGTTTTTGACGGCTGGAGCCGGGGCGACATCATTGAGAAGATGGTGAAGGACCGGCGCTCGGCCGACTTCTACGAGAGCAAACGCATGGACGTGAGCAGGGGGTGGCACTGAGGCCCACGGGGGGTGGTGGCTGCTTGGGGACCTGCCCTGGGACATCCTGGGACAGGCCACCCTGGCCCTGGCCCCCTGATTTTAAGAGTTTTGTTACCCCGGCCCTGGAGCCATCTTCAGGGGGCAGTGCCCTGCCTTGTCCCATGTCCCCTCTGTCCCTGTCGTGTCCTTCCAGCCCTCCTGGTGCAGCTTGTCCCCCTTGGTGTCCTCCTGTCCCTCACTGGCATCTTCCTGTCCCCTGGGTCCATCCTCCTGGCCCTGCCACCCTGGTCCATCTCCTGTCCCTCCCCAGCATCTTCCTGTCCCCTGGGTCCATCCTCCTGGCCCTGCCGCCCTGGTCCATCTCCTGTCCCTCCCCAGCATCTTCCTGTCCCCTGGGTCCACCCCTGTCCCCACTTTCCATCGCGTTTCTCTTCCCGGCATCCTCCTGTCCCCTCCTTGCTCCATCCTCTAGTCCCCTTGGTCCATCCTCCTGTCCCCTCTTTGGCCCATCTCCTATCGCCCTGGTCCAACTCCTGTCCCCTCCCAGCATCCTTGTCCCCTCCTTGGTCCACCTTCTGTCTCCTCCACCATGGTCCATCTCCTGTCCCCTCCTTGGCCCATCAGATCCCCTTGGCCCATCTCCCATCCCTCTCCCCATCATCCTTTTCTCCCCTTTCTCCACATCCCGTCCCTTCCTTCCTCCATCCTGTCCCCATGCTCCATCTCCCGTCCCCTTTTGTCCCTCTCGCCACGTCCATGCTGCCCTTCCACCCCCTCACCCATCTCCCATCGCTCCTCCTGCTCCCCTCATCCTCACCCCTCTTGCCCATGGCGGGGGGTGCTGCTGGGGGGGTGTGTGTGTGTGTCCCCCCCAATTTTCCTCCCGTAGGTGCTCACGTGTCCCAGCGCCGGTTTCACCGACCTGGCAGAGATCGTGTCCCGCATCGAGCCCGCCAAGACCTACTTGTCCGATGGATATGCGGACGGTGAGCTGGGAGGGGGGAGGTTAGTTTTGGGGACCGGATCCAGATCTGGGGACTCACCCCGCACCCCACTCTTGCCCCCTTCCCAGAGGAGTCTGACTACCTCACCGAGTACGAGGATGAGGGGCCGGAGCCAGCGCGGGGCGAGGAGGATGTGTTTGCCCACCCCGAGTGGGCCAGCACTGGCACCTTGGAGGCTGTGAGTGCCCCCGACCGTGGAGAATCTCCAAAACGGGGTGCCCCCTCAGTTTGGGGGGTTCCCAAGGGTGTCCTGATCCTGTGCATGGGGGTGTGTGACCGTGAAGACCCTCCAAATTGGGGTGCCCCTGGGTTTGGGGGAGCCCAAGGGTGCCCTGATCCTGTCCATGGGGGTGTGTGGTCATGGAGGTCCTCCAGATTGGGGTGTCCCCAGGTTTGGGGGCTCCCAAGGGTGTCCTGATCCCCTGTGTGTGGTGTCCCTGGGACCAATCTTACTCCTGGCCAGGGAGACCCCCCCCAAAATGAGGTGCCCCCTTGGTTTGGGGACTTCAGAGGGTGCCCTGACCTCATGTGTGGGGGCATGTGGTCACGGGACAGCCTGCCCCCCCCAGGTGCTGCACTGTGTCCCCAACATGTCCCCTCTGTCCCCAGGAGGAGGAGAAGACCCCACGGCACCGCCCCAGCCCGGCCCGCGACCCCTCTGCACCCCACACCTGACCCCGAACCCACGGAGCCCGAGCGCCGGCACTACCTCTGCCCCCCCAGGGCTGTCCCCC